CACTCCTGCATCCAAACATCCGCTCACTCCAGCATCCAAACATCTGCTCACTCCTGCATCCAAACATCTGCTCACTCCTGCATCCAAACATCTGCACACTCCTGCATCCAAACATCTGCTCACTCCTGCATCCAAACATCCGCTCACTCCAGCATCCAAACATCTGCTCACTCCTGCATCCAAACATCTGCACACTCCTGCATCCAAACATCTGCTCACTCCTGCATCCAAACATCTGCACACTCCTGCATCCAAACATCTGCACACTCCTGCATCCAAACATCTGCTCACTCCTGCATCCAAACATCTGCACACTCCTGCATCCAAACATCTGCACACTCCTGCATCCAAACATCTGCACACTCCTGCATCCAAACATCTGCTCACTCCTGCATCCAAACATCTGCTCACTCCTGCATCCAAACATCTGCACACTCCTGCATCCAAACATCTGCACACTCCTGCATCCAAACATCTGCTCACTCCTGCATCCAAACATCTGCACACTCCTGCATCCAAACATCTGCTCACTCCTGCATCCAAACATCTGCACACTCCTGCATCCAAACATCTGCTCACTCCTGCATCCAAACATCCGCTCACTCCTGCATCCAAACATCCGCTCACTCCTGCATCCAAACATCTGCTCACTCCAGCATCCAAACATCTGCTCACTCCTGCATCCAAACATCTGCTCACTCCTGCATCCAAACATCTGCTCACTCCTGCATCCAAACATCTGCTCACTCCTGCATCCAAACATCTGCTCACTCCAGCATCCAAACATCTGCTCACTCCAGCATCCAAACATCTGCTCACTCCAGCATCCAAACATCTGCTCACTTCTGCATCCAAACATCTGCTCACTCCTGCATCCAAACATCTGCACACTCCTGCATCCAAACATCTGCTCACTCCTGCATCCAAACATCTGCACACTCCTGCATCCAAACATCTGCACACTCCTGCATCCAAACATCTGCTCACTCCTGCATCCAAACATCTGCACACTCCTGCATCCAAACATCTGCACACTCCTGCATCCAAACATCTGCACACTCCTGCATCCAAACATCTGCTCACTCCTGCATCCAAACATCTGCTCACTCCTGCATCCAAACATCTGCTCACTCCTGCATCCAAACATCTGCACACTCCTGCATCCAAACATCTGCTCACTCCTGCATCCAAACATCTGCACACTCCTGCATCCAAACATCTGCACACTCCTGCATCCAAACATCTGCTCACTCCTGCATCCAAACATCTGCACACTCCTGCATCCAAACATCTGCACACTCCTGCATCCAAACATCTGCACACTCCTGCATCCAAACATCTGCTCACTCCTGCATCCAAACATCTGCTCACTCCTGCATCCAAACATCTGCACACTCCTGCATCCAAACATCTGCACACTCCTGCATCCAAACATCTGCTCACTCCTGCATCCAAACATCTGCACACTCCTGCATCCAAACATCTGCTCACTCCTGCATCCAAACATCTGCACACTCCTGCATCCAAACATCCGCTCACTCCTGCATCCAAACATCCGCTCACTCCTGCATCCAAACATCTGCTCACTCCTGCATCCAAACATCTGCTCACTCCAGCATCCAAACATCTGCTCACTCCTGCATCCAAACATCTGCTCACTCCTGCATCCAAACATCTGCTCACTCCTGCATCCAAACATCTGCACACTCCTGCATCCAAACATCTGCACACTCCAGCATCCAAACATCTGCTCACTCCTGCATCCAAACATCTGCTCACTCCTGCATCCAAACATCTGCACACTCCAGCATCCAAACATCTGCACACTCCAGCATCCAAACATCTGCTCACTCCTGCATCCAAACATCTGCACACTCCTGCATCCAAACATCTGCTCACTCCTGCATCCAAACATCTGCACACTCCAGCATCCAAACATCTGCTCACTCCTGCATCCAAACATCTGCTCACTCCTGCATCCAAACATCTGCTCACTCCAGCATCCAAACATCTGCTCACTCCTGCATCCAAACATCTGCTCACTCCTGCATCCAAACATCTGCTCACTCCTGCATCCAAACATCTGCTCACTCCTGCATCCAAACATCTGCAAACATCTGCTCACTCCGGACACACTCACTGGAGACGTGAAGAGCGTCTTGGGGCGCTGTACTTCTTCTCCAGTAAATGTGTCCTGATTTAACCCTCATCCTTTTGACCCCAAACTCATCTTTTAAAAATGAAGAGTTCGTCAGAGGGGTCCAAGACTCTAGGACTTTTGTCGCACTTGAACCACAAATACAATTTTTTTTTGTAAATTATGGATTCGAGGGGTTTTGTTGTTGAAATTTTAAAAAGTAACAAATCCTTCCCTCTCTGGTCAATCTGACCCCCTTAGGAATGAGTGGAATGCGAGGAATGATTCAGTACACAGAAAAACCTAAAAATGCTCAAAATTCAAAGTAAAAATTTGCTAAAACTTTACTAAAAAATTATTTTATAATATCTACATGTGTATCTGAATGCATACTGAAGTAATTGTCTTTAGGACCCAGCGGAACGGCTCCTCTGCTCCATATAGAGCTATAAGCCCATCTAGTGGCAAGAGTTATGAAATATCATGTGTTATTATTATATCTCCACAAGAGGTCGGCAAAGACACCCTGTGTAAGATATTTTGAGCTGAATTAAAAGGGTTATGCATGAAATTGTGAGTTATTTTGAATTTAAGTTGAAAGAATGTGTGGAATGTGCTAAATTACTATTTATTTATTATTTATTGATCAAATCTAGTAATTTAAAGGTTAAAAAAAATGCATAAAAAATGTAATCAAAATTAAATAAAATTAACTTTCTGAAAAAAAAGAAAAAAAATCAAGTATAATTGTGGTTCTTTGGGTCATTGTGACCCGCGAGGGAAGGATGAGGGTTACGAATGTTCAGATGTTTGTGCTGGAAAACGAGACAGAAACACTGAGGAAGAACATCATGATTGCAGTGAACTCGAGGCAGAATATGAAACACACATGCACATTTAAAATCGCATACATGTGACGTGAATCTCAAAGCAGGTGTTAAAGCTTTAAATCATCTGATTTATGATCAACCATCAGACGATGAAGCATCCAAGCATGGAGATGAAGAGCAGAGTGATCTGAGGAGCGCTGAAGCAGCAGCAGATCCGACCCGTCTCATGCAGACGCTCGTTCTGCTGGCGCTTCATTACACACACACACACACACACACAGCGACTGATTGCTGGCGCTTCATTACACACACACACGACGACTGATGGACATGTGGACACACTTCCCCTGAATCTACTGTACGACACTGCTAGTGCTGGTGGATTACTGGACTCTACATTAGTAATGGTCATCAGTACTGACTGCAATCTATGAGATCTCACATCTCAGCTAATGTAATCCGACTACTTTCTGATTACTCTCTATCACAGATTATTCTGCACCACACTGATATAAAACCATAAACAAAACAGAAATTACATTCCATTCTTTACCATGAACTTTAAGTGCATTAAACATCACAATACATCAGAGTTCATGAAAAGCTTATACTTAATTAAATCATAAAAATGATACAAATCATAATCATAAAAATAAAATAAAAAATATTTCAAATATTTTTTACTTTAAAACATGCCTTTTTTGTTCACCTGCAAAATATCTTTTTAGTAAGTGTTTATATTTTAAAATATATATTTTTTCAACAAAAAAAAAAGCAAACTAAAAAGTATGGAAGCTTGTTTTCCGCAAAGAATGAAAAAAAAAGGTAATTGAGACTTTATATCTTGCAATTCTGACTTTATTTCTCAAAATTACAAGATATAAACTCGCAATTGTGAGATAAAAAGTCGCAATCATCTTTTAAAATGTTTTATTCTGTGGCGGAAACAAGCTTCCATTAAAAGATATTTTGCAGGTAAAAAATAAATAAATAAATAAAATAAATATATATATATATATATATATATATTAGTAAGTGTTTTTTCCCAATTTTTTGTAAAAAAAAAAAACAGTTACTAAAATATATATAATTTTTGTTTGCCCACAAAATATCTTTTTTTAAAACGCTAAATGCACAGTAAAAGAGAACAAACAAGATTCAGGGAATAATCTACTGTGTCAATAATATGTAATCAATAAAAAGGAACAGTAATCTGATCATAAGCATTGGAAACTGTGAAGTAATGGAATTACAAGCACTTGATGTGAGTAATGTGCAGGTAATCCAGACGTGATCAGTTACTCTGGGCTCTGCTGATTCAGTCTGCTAGTGCGCTTCAAGAGAAGTGTGATCCTGGAATGACTGTGTTTCTCCCAGTGGATCCGCATGCAGATTCCCGCTTACCTTCCGCCTGGATTCAGTGTGTGTGACGTCAACATCACACTGAGATCAGCGAGGAGTGTGTGTGCATCTAGCGCACACTACAGGACTGAAGCTCGACACACAGAGTAAAGTCTGAACGATCGTCTACTACACACTCATATTCTGCTTCTACGTGTGAAGGTATAGATGTGGGAATCGACTCCCAAACGGGTTTGTGCGCTGGAACAAAAGCTTGCATGTCAGTCATATTCACATCACGTGACGCGATGAGCAAAGATAAACATCTACTGCAATCATCTCGAAAAATCAAGGAAATCGTTTAATGATATAAAAGAATATTGCTGTACAGGAGTAAAGTGCGTGGGTCGTCTCGCGTGCAGAATAAAGCCGTAAGAGACTGTAATGTTCAGTAAGATCTGTAACTAAACTAAGATCATCTGCGGGACAGGATTATAATCGGATGCAGGAAACACGTGCGGATCTGAAATCAAGTTCATCAAAGCTGAGCGTCCTGTAAAACTGCAGACCTGATCAAGTCCTCAGACCCCGGATCAGATGAAGATGAAGAGGAAGAATCCCAGAGTCGTGGAGAAGTGGTCTCCTGAGGGGTCAGAGGTCAGGGGTCAGGGGTCAGGTCAGCGTTCTCTCACCTGTACTCTCCAAACATTATATCGTCCTCCTTCATGGGCTGGATCTCCGGGTCTCCGTGAGCGTCTTCCTTCTCTTTAACTGAGACAAACATCAGCGATCAGAGATCAGAGATCAGTCACACACACACACACACACACACACACACACACACACACACACACACACACACACACGTACACACACTCACACACACGTTGGACCCCATTGAAGACACTATATGGAGAAACCCTGGAATGTGTTCCTCAAAAACTATTTCTTAAAGAAAACTGAAGAAAGACTTGAACGTCTTGGAGGACGTGGAGGAGAGTAAATTATCAGGAAATTTTAATTCTGAAATTAACTAATCCTTTAACACTAAGACCATAAAAAACACTTTCGCTACTTGAACCACATTAAATGTTAATTGGCGTTACGTAACATAAATGTCTGCTAAAGGATTAAATGTCAACACAAGTCTCACCTGGATATTTCCCGCCCTTGTTCCTCTTGATGAAGCAGACGATGAGGAGGATGAGGATGAGCAGAGCGATGGCCGACATCAGCCCGATGAACCAGCCCTGAGTGGCGATGTCCACTTGCGGACTCACCATCGCTGAGGAAGAGGAGGAAGAGGAGGATGAGACACGGCAGATCCCTTCGTCAGCGAGTCACGGAGGATCACGGACACACGAGGGACGAACGCTCAAACACACTCAGTGTTCCTCTCGTCTTCCAGTACACACATCAATGACACAAAGCACACTAATATCTTCAGTCTGTTTCTCCAGTACATGTACCTTGATTTAAAGGTGACATATTATGCCCCTTTTCACAAGATGTAATATAAATCTACGGTGTCCCCAGAATGTGTGTGAAATTTCAGCTCAAAATATCAGATCATTTATTATAACTTGTCAAATTTTGTCCCTTTTTGGGTGTGAGCAAAAACGCACAGTTTGTGTATGTCGCTTTAAATGCAAATGAGCTTTAGCTCCGCCTCCGTTCAGAAGAGGGCGGAGCCTTCACACGAGCTTCAGAGACTCTGGCAATAACAACACAGGCCAATCTCACTGATCCAGAATCAGGAGTAACAGCAGCGAGTGCAGCCTTACGGAGAGACTCAGGGAGAGCTTCACTTTTACACGTTTCTGAATGTTAGCGGAGACATTTCTGTAGTTGTTGTGGAGTTACACTGATCATCTCCTCATCATGTTGAACTCTTCCACAAGTGTCCACAGTTCCTGAGGTGTTTATAAGACAGCGCTGACATGTTCTGGTCAATAGTGTTCAGTGTCGTCTGTGCTCGACCACAGAACAGTTTCAGGCTTTGCTGGATCTTCTCCAGTGCGTTAGAACTGGTCTCTGTTGGCACTCGCCGAACCCAATGTCGCTGGTGTGTGTAAACGTGCAGATTAAGGGCCGGGAATATTATAAACGTGCAGATTAAGGGCCGGGAATATTGTAAACGTGCAGATTAAGGGCCGGGAATATTATAAACGTGCAGATTAAGGGCCGGGAATATTATAAACGTGCAGATTAAGGGCCGGGAATATTATAATAAGATCCTCTTCATACGGCAGAAGGGGAGCGAAATCTGATCGGCTTCTGAAAGGCTCACCAGAACACCGTTACTGGGTTTCACTATTCACGTTTTCTGGGTTGGTAGAAGCACCGGATTATAGCACTTACACACGGGAAAAGGCAGATTTTCATGATATGTCCCCTTTAAGAATATTTGTACTGAAAAACAAGACAGAGACACTGAGGCAGAGCCTCATTTTGTGCGGGATACAGTCATGCTGATCAGTGGATAAAGACCCATGAGCGCAGACGGACTCATGCAGACGCTCATCAACACATCTCCCAGCATGCATCACAGCGGGCGCGTATCCCACAAGGCCTTGAGGCTGAGAGGAAGCCTCACCTGGGAGCGTGACCAACAGCTCCTCAGAGCGCCGGAGCGAGCGCTCGTCCTCCCGACCTCTGGCCACCACGCGCACCTTGTAGGACAAACCCTCCTTCAAACCCTTTAGCACGTGGAACTGAGAGCCGTTGACCTTCTCTGTGTGCCAGTCTTCATCACCTGAGGGTTTCCAGCACACACTCCGTTCAGATCTCTACACCTTCTGACTCCTATACTGTTAAACTACTCAACAACTCAACCGTTATGAGCCTCCACTGCAAAACATGAGGCTCTTCCTCAGTGTTTCTGTCTCGTGTTCCAGCACACACATCTAAACATTCTTACATCAAGACACAGTTACTGGAGGAGAACAATCACTGAAGATCGAACTGATTAAACAAGACTTAATATCTTCAGTCCTTGTGCTTCTCCAGTGGATGTGTCCGGGTTCAGGAATGTTTAGGAGCAGGATCATGTTTTGCAGTGTATCCCGGTCGGTCAGCTCTGTTAGTGACTACATGAGCTCTACTCTATGTTCATGTGTTTGATCATCAGAAAGCACGACACACGCATGCAGGAGTCTTACTGTTGTCTATAATATATTCAACATAAAGGTGTTTCTCGGGACCCCAGTACTCCCAACTGATCAGTGCTCCGTCCTCGCTCACGGACGAGCTGACGTTCCCGAACGCAGGAGCGATGGCCGGCGCTGAGAGAGAGAGACACAAGCATCAGCTCCGGCTGCGGATCCGTGAGGAGCAACTGAACGACTGACGCGAGAGCCGCTGTTTACTGAGTGAGTAGAGTGAGGGCGGGAGATGACATGACATTAGCGTGTTAGGGGCGGGGCTACTGACGATGTCACTACAGCGACTGTACCCGTGTGTGGGGGGAGGGGTGCCCGAGCTCCTGGAAAACACACACACACACACTCTCTCTCACACACTCACACAGCATCACGTGACTCCAGCAGGTCAGAGGTCAGGAGGAAAGAGAAGGAGGACATTTATAAAAAGGAAAGATTAAAAGATCAGAAGGAAAACACACACAGGATTCTGTGACATTCATACAATTAAAGGTTAAATGCAGCAATCTCTGAGAGCAAATTAAGAGTTTAAACCTATTTTCAGTGATGAAACTGATTAGAATAAAATGTCTTTTATTGACTTGAACCTGGACTTTAAAGTGGACTGAAACCTCTTTCAGTTGTGATACAATCTCAGTCCACATTAAATTCACACTAGTGTTTTAGGAAGCCAAACCATTTATAATAATAATAATAATAACTTTCACTCAAGAATTTTTGAGGCATACTTACACTTAAGTAATTGTACTTTAACTAAAGCACACTTTCTTTGTAGTGAATTAAACAGAAAACCCACAGAACGGGCAGTGAGACACTAGTGTGCCCTGTCTAGTGGACGTACCTCTGTGGAGGATGGCGAGACACCAGTGTGCCCTGTCTAGTGGACGGTCCTCTGTGGAGGATGGTGAGACACCAGTGTGCCCTGTCTAGTGGACGTACCTCTGTGGAGGATGGTGAGACACTAGTGTGCCCTGTCTAGTGGACGGTACTCTGTGGAGGATGGTGAGACACTAGTGTGCCCTGTCTAGTGGACGGACCTCTGTGGAGGATGGTGAGACACCAGTGTGCCCTGTCTAGTGGACGGTCCTCTGTGGAGGATGGTGAGACACTAGTGTGCCCTGTCTAGTGGACGTTCCTCTGTGGAGGATGGTGAGACACTAGTGTGCCCTGTCTAGTGGACGTACCTCTGTGGAGGATGGTGAGACACTAGTGTGCCCTGTCTAATGGACGTCCCTCTGTGGAGGATGGTGAGACACTAGTGTGCCCTGTCTAGTGGACGTACCTCTGTGGAGGATGGTGAGACACTAGTGTGCCCTGTCTAGTGGACGTACCTCTGGAGGATGGTGAGACACTAGTGTGCCCTGTCTAGTGGACGTACCTCTGTGGAGGATGGCGAGACACCAGTGTGCCCTGTCTAGTGGACGGTCCTCTGTGGAGGATGGCGAGACACTAGTGTGCCCTGTCTAGTGGACGTACCTCTGTGGAGGATGGTGAGACACTAGTGTGCCCTGTCTAGTGGACGTACCTCTGTGGAGGATGGTGAGACACTAGTGTGCCCTGTCTAGTGGACGTACCTCTGGAGGATGGTGAGACACTAGTGTGCCCTGTCTAGTGGACGTACCTCTGTGGAGGATGGCGAGACACCAGTGTGCCCTGTCTAGTGGACGGTCCTCTGTGGAGGATGGCGAGACACCAGTGTGCCCTGTCTAGTGGACGGTCCTCTGTGGAGGATGGTGAGACACCAGTGTGCCCTGTCTAGTGGACGAACCTCTGTGGAGGATGGCGAGACACTAGTGTGCCCTGTCTAGTGGACGGTCCTCTGTGGAGGATGGTGAGACACTAGTGTGCCCTGTCTAGTGGACGGACCTCTGTGGAGGATGGTGAGACACCAGTGTGCCCTGTCTAGTGGACGGTCCTCTGTGGAGGATGGTGAGACACTAGTGTGCCCTGTCTAGTGGACGTTCCTCTATGGAGGATGGTGAGACACTAGTGTGCCCTGTCTAGTGGACGTACCTCTGTGGAGGATGGTGAGACACTAGTGTGCCCTGTCTAGTGGACGTACCTCTGTGGAGGATGGTGAGACACTAGTGTGCCCTGTCTAGTTGACGTACCTCTGGAGGATGGTGAGACACTAGTGTGCCCTGTCTAGTGGACGTACCTCTGTGGAGGATGGTGAGACACTGGTGTGCCCTGTCTAGTGGACGGACCTCTGTGGAGGATGGTGAGACACTAGTGTGCCCTGTCTAGTGGACGTACCTCTGTGGAGGATGGTGAGACACTAGTGTGCCCTGTCTAGTGGACGGACCTCTGTGGAGGATGGTGAGACACTAGTGTGCCCTGTCTAGTGGACGGACCTCTGTGGAGCATGGTGAGACACTAGTATGCCCTGTCTAGTGGACGGACCTCTGTGGAGGATGGTGAGACACTAGTGTGCCCTGTCTAGTGGACGTAACTCTGTGGAGGATGGTGAGACACTAGTGTGCCCTGTCTAGTGGACGGACCTCTGTGGAGGATGGTGAGACACTAGTGTGCCCTGTCTAATGGACGGACCTCTGTGGAGGATGGTGAGACACTAGTGTGCCCTGTCTATTGGACGGACCTCTGTGGAGGACACTAGTGTGCCCTGTCTAGTGGACGGACCTCTGTGGAGGATGGTGAGACACTAGTGTGCCCTGTCTAGTGGACGTAACTCTGTGGAGGATGGTGAGACACTAGTGTGCCCTGTCTAGTGGACGGACCTCTGTGGAGGATGGTGAGACACTAGTGTGCCCTGTCTAGTGGACGGATCTCTGTGGAGGATGGTGAGACACTAGTGTGCCCTGTCTAATGGACGGACCTCTGTGGAGGATGGTGAGACACTAGTGTGCCCTGTCTAGTGGACGGACCTCTGTGGAGGACACTAGTGTGCCCTGTCTAGTGGACGGACCTCTGTGGAGGATGGTGAGACACTAGTGTGCCCTGTCTAGTGGACGTAACTCAGTGGAGGATGGTGAGACACTAGTGTGCCCTGTCTAGTGGACGGACCTCTGTGGAGGATGGTGAGACACTAGTGTGCCCTGTCTAGTGAACGTACCTCTGTGGAGGATGGTGAGACACTAGTGTGCCCTGTCTAATGGACGGACCTCTGTGGAGGATGGTGAGACACCAGTGTGCCCTGTCTAGTGAACGTACCTCTGTGGAGGATGGTGAGACACTAGTGTGCCCTGTCTAGTGGACGGACCTCTGTGGAGGATGGTGAGACACTAGTGTGCCCTGTCTAGTGGACGTACCTCTGTGGAGGATGGTGAGACACCAGTGTGCCCTGTCTAGTGGACGTACCTCTGTGGAGGATGGTGAGACACTAGTGTCCCCTGTCTAGTGGACGGACCTCTGTGGTGGATGGTGAGACACTAGTGTGCCCTGTCTAGTGAACGTACCTCTGTGGAGGATGGTGAGACACTAGTGTGCCCTGTCTAATGGACGAACCTCTGTGGAGGATGGTGAGACACTAGTGTGCCCTGTCTAGTGGACGTACCTCTGTGGAGGATGGTGAGACACTAGTGTGCCCTGTCTAGTGGACGTACCTCTGTGGAGGATGGTGAGACACCAGTGTGCCCTGTCTAGTGGACGAACCTCTGTGGAGGATGGTGAGACACTAGTGTGCCCTGTCTAGTGGACGTACCTCTGTGGAGGATGGTGAGACACTAGTGTGCCCTGTCTAGTGGACACCTCTGTGGAGGATGGTGAGACACCAGTGTGCCCTGTCTAGTGGACGAACCTCTGTGGAGGACACTAGTGTGCCCTGTCTAGTGGACGTACCTCTGTGGAGGATGGTGAGACACTAGTGTGCCCTGTCTAGTGGACGTACCTCTGTGGAGGATGGTGAGACACTAGTGTGCCCTGTCTAGTGGACACCTCTGTGGAGGATGGTGAGACACCAGTGTGCCCTGTCTAGTGGACGAACCTCTGTGGAGGACACTAGTGTGCCCTGTCTAGTGGACGGACCTCTGTGGAGGATGGTGAGACACCAGTGTGCCCTGTCTAGTGGACGAACCTCTGTGGAGGACACCAGTGTGCCCTGTCTAGTGGATGTACCTCTGTGGAGGATGGCGAGACACCAGTGTGCCGTGTCTAGTGGACGGACCTCTGTGGAGGATGGTGAGACACCAGTGTGCCCTGTCTAGTGGACGTACCTCTGTGGAGGATGGCGAGACACTGGTGTGCCCTGTCTAGTGGACGTTCCTCTGTGGAGGATGGCGAGACACTAGTGTGCCCTGTCTAGTGGACGTACCTCTGTGGTGGATGGTGAGACACTAGTGTGCCCTGTCTAGTGGACGAACCTCTGTGGAGGATGGTGAGACACTAGTGTGCCCTGTCTAGTGGACGTACCTCTGTGGACGATGGCGAGACACTAGTTTGCCCTGTCTAGTGGACGTACCTCTGTGGACGATGGCGAGACACTAGTGTGCCCTGTCTAGTGGACGTACCTCTGTGGACGATGGCGAGACACTAGTGTGCCCTGTCTAGTGGACGTACCTCTGTGGAGGATGGTGAGACACTAGTGTGCCCTGTCTAGTGGACGTACCTCTGTGGAGGATGGTGAGACACTAGTGTGCCCTGTCTAGTGGACGGACCTCTGTGGAGGATGGTGAGACACCAGTGTGCCCTGTCTAGTGGACGTACCTCTGTGGAGGATGGCGAGACACTGGTGTGCCCTGTCTAGTGGACGTTCCTCTGTGGAGGATGGCGAGACACTAGTGTGCCCTGTCTAGTGGACGTACCTCTGTGGACGATGGCGAGACACCAGTGTGCCCTGTCTAGTGGACGTACCTCTGTGGAGGATGGTGAGACACTAGTTTGCCCTGTCTAGTGGACGTACCTCTGTGGACGATGGTGAGACACTAGTGTGCCCTGTCTAGTGGACGTACCTCTGTGGACGATGGCGAGACACCAGTGTGCCCTGTCTAGTGGACGTACCTCTGTGGAGGATGGTGAGACACTAGTTTGCCCTGTCTAGTGGACGTACCTCTGTGGACGATGGCGAGACACTAGTGTGCCCTGTCTAGTGGACGTACCTCTGTGGACGATGGCGAGACACCAGTGTGCCCTGTCTAGTGGACGAACCTCTGTGGAGGATGGCGAGACACTAGTGTGCCCTGTCTAGTGGACGAACCTCTGTGGAGGATGGCGAGACACCAGTGTGCCCTGTCTAGTGGACGTACCTCTGTGGACGATGGCGAGACACTAGTGTGCCCTGTCTAGTGGACGTACCTCTGTGGACGATGGCGAGACACCAGTGTGCCCTGTCTAGTGGACGTACCTCTGTGGAGGATGGTGACGGCCTCCTCGGTGAGCGCAGGACCGGATCCCTGCTGTGTTTTGGCACTGAAATAGAACTTGTAGCGCGTGCTGTGATGGAGGTTGTGCAGCGTTACACTGCTTTGATTGGACAGCAGATCCATCTCATCCAGCAGACCCAAGTCATGGCTGCTGTTGACTGGAGGCGGAGCGAGAGTGGAAAGGGGCGGGGTCACGTTATTTCAGCCAATCATAAGCTGCTGTAGATTTATATCTTAGGTGAGGAGAGGTTCTCTCACCCGTCTGATATCTGAGGGTGTATCCGGTCAGACGGCCGTTCCTCTCGTGAGGCGGAGCCCACTCCAGCGTCAGAGAGTCCAGATCCGAAGCCGACACGCGGAAGAACGACGGCACGCCGGGAACTGGAACCATACAGACCACAAAATCTGAGCCTTCAAGTCAAGTCAGCTTTATTCCTACAGCGCTTTATACAGTACAGATCGTTTCATAGCAGTTTCACAGTGATAAACAGGAAAATAACAGAATCAATTATGCAACCTTTATCAAATATGAGACACATTTAGATTCAGGGGTGAAGCAGCTCTACAGAAGATCAGAGAGGCATTCTTCAGATCAGTGTTGATTCAGTTCAGTTCACTAACTGTGTAAAGTTCATCATTAATGAAACGAGTTCAATTTCAGCTGTAAAGGCTCTGGAGGAAAAAAGTCAGAATTGCGAGATAAAAATTGCAATTGCGAGAAAAAGTCAGAATTGCGAGAAATAAACTCATAATTGAGAGGAAAAGCCAGAATTGCGAGATAAAAAATTGCAATTGCGAGAAAAAGTCAGAATTGCAAGATAAAAAATTGCAATTGCGAGATAAAAAATTGCAATTGCGAGAAAAAGTCAGAATTGCAAGAAATAAACTCATGATTGCGAGGAAAAGCTAGAATTGCCAGATAAAAACTTAGTTGCAAGAAAAAGTCAAAACTGAGAGATAAAAATTGCAATTGCGAGAAAAAAGTCAGAATTGCGAGATAAAAACTTACAATTAAAAGAAAAGTCAAAACTGAGAGATAAAAATTCGCAATTGCTAGAAAAAAGCCAGTATTATGAGAAATAAAGTCATGATTGAGAAATAAAGTCATGATTGTAAAACAATTGCAAGATAAAAAGTTACAATTTGTAGAAAAAGCCAGAATTGCGAGATAAAAACTTACAGTTGCAAGAAACAATCAAAACTGAGAGAGAAAAAGTCACAATTGTGAAAAAAGTCAGAATTATGAGAAATAAAGTCACGATTGTGAAAAAACACTGAATTGCACGAAAAAAACTCACAATTGTGAGAAATATAGTCAGAATTGCGAGATAAAAAGTCAAAAGGACCTTTTTTATCTTTTTTTCAGTGTGGGAAACAAGCTTCCATATTGTCATCATCTGGTAGTGTCAGTGCAGCTGAATGTATGAGTGAATAAAGCGGCTTGAGCGAGTGTTCAGATGCTCTCACCGCCCTCCGGCGTCTCGAAGCGTTGCGTGGCGCTAGCGGGTCCTTCCCCGCGGCTGTTGAACGCCGTCACGTGCAGACTGTAGACGCTGAACGGGTGCAGGTCCGGGAGCTTCCCGCGGGTTCTGTTGGGCCCGAAGCTCTCGCTCCTCTGCTCGCCGTGGTGAGAGTTGTGTCGGTGTAAACTCCGCTCGCGCCGGTAATGAACCTGCACACCGACAACAGAGTTTCCACACGCTCACATATCCCAGCATGCACTAGTCTAAGGTCACAGCCTCAAAAACACTAAACCTTTCCCAGGAGCAAAAGTCATCTTGTTTTCATAAGCATAATTTATTTAAAAACAGTAGGGGTGTAACAATACATTATGTCACAATATATCGCAATACAAAAATGCATCAATATGTATCGTGGATAGTTCACCCAAAATAAAAATTACTGTGTGAGAAAAAAATCTGGTTTTCACTGTTTTAGTGTCAGGACTACATTAAACTACTATATATAATGTTGAATATAATGTATAATAATGCCAAATGTCTTTAAAAGTGGCCGCCATTATTTTATATATATCTAGTCAGTGACAGAGATCAAGTATATTCGTCTAAAACAATTGTGTGTTTTCAGCTTCAGAATCGTGAATATTGTTATTCTGGTGTCTCTGTTGTCCTGTGCTTTGGGTTTCAGCACTGAGTCCAAGCCTGTTCATTTACACACACACAGTGTAACACCAAATTTAGCATTTTAATCAATAGTACATTTTTTGTTAACCTTTTATAATATGTTTGGTAATATCACAATAATATCGAATTGTGAGTTCAGTGTCTTGATATGTATCGAAGCGTGACACGAGGGAATCGTTACACCCCTAGAAAACAGGGAAATTTATTCAGACACCTTCAACATTTCTCACATTATCACAGTTAATTCATTATAGTTGAGATACTGGTAATAAAATATGAGCAGAACTCAGTGGATATTTGACTGGTTTTGTCCGTCCTTCTGTTAGACTCTCACACATGAATTATGTTGAATATCTGTCAGCTGTTAAATTTAACTCCACAATTAGATAATACCAGTTTAGCTCAACCAGTGACCAAGCAATGCTTCATGTTGACGTGACTCTGAGCGCGTACCTTATAGCCCTGCAGTCGCCCGCGCACGGCCCACAGAGGAACGTGTTCCCAGTGCACCTCCGCCAGCGTGCTGTTCAGCACCAGCACCTGCACCAGCCCCGGGGCCGCTGAGGGAACTGCACACAGACATCTGGAGTTAGCAGCGCTACGCTAGTCGAGCGCTAATGCTAAAGGCGCGAGACTCACAGTCCTCTCCGGAGTGCCCGATCACAGCGGCGGGTTCGGGGCCGGGCCCGTAGGCGTTCTGCGCCCGCACCATCACCTCGTACGGCACAAACGTGGGCGTCCCCGACACCACGAACTTGGAGACGTTGGCCACGCTGACGGAGGTCCAGTCCTCCTCCACGCCGTGCTGCCGCCACAGGACCGTATACTGCAGGCCGGGGCCGTTCGCCTGGAGCCCCGTCAGCGGCTGCGGACCACACACACACACACACACACTCAAGGCTGCACAGTACTACACAAGCTCATGCCATTTGGCAAGGTTCGTATGAATAATCCAGAAAATCTGTATCCTCTTTACTACACAAACTCAAGCACGATATTAAATCACATTCAAAAAAAAGAAAAAAATGGAGAATTTGAAAGAAATAAAATGAAATAAACTGATTTCATAATTTTATTTTTGTGGTTACACTATATATGTTTTAAGATTTAAAGTAATTAGACAAGTAATAACAAAAAATAATAAATACAATTATATAATATAATATAAAATGGAATTTGGGATCAAATAGAATGTATTTGTATTTGAATGTATTATCAGAACGCTGAAAATGTTGTTGTTTTTTGTTAAACTTTTAATAAATTGTTGTTAAATTGTATTAGTTTTATGATTTCAATTAATTTGACATGATTTTGATTTCTAAAACTTAATTTAACCATTAAAAAGTATAATTTTTTTAAAAAAAATAAAACCGATTTCATAGGGCCCTATTATTTTAAAATGTTTATAAATTATTAAATTGTTTTTCTTTTATGAATGTAATTAATTTGACATGATTCTAAATATATAATCAAATTTAATTAAACCACTAAAATGCATTCCAGAAAAAAAATAAAAATAAAAATAAAACGGATTTCATAGGGCCCTAAAAAAGTAAATTTTTGTTAAACTATTAATACATTATTGTTAAAATGCATGTTTCATGATTGTAATTAATTAGACACACTTTTGATTATTATTAAATTGTTAATGTTTTATGAATTCAATTGATTAGATATGCTTTCTGATCATTAAAATTTAATAAAACCATTCAAATGTAATCTAGGAAAAAAACATGAAATTTGGGAAAAAAAATTAAATGTACTTTTTGTTAAACTTGTAATAAATTGTTGTTCAATTGTATAGGTTTCATTATTTAAATGAATTAGTCTTTATTTCTAAAATGTAATTTTTTTAACCTGTGGTTCACTGTGGATGTCCTGGGGCTCTAGTGGACATCATGAGTTAAAACAACAGCTGAGTTTTATATAAATAATGTGTGTGTGGCTAAAACATCACACTGTATGAACATGATCAGTGTGTGTTTATTAAAGATCAGCGTCTCACCTTCCACGTGATGACCAGGTTATTGTGTTCCGTGCCGTGACCTTTGACCTCACTGGGGTTCTCGTCTGGAGCTGCAGAGAGACGCGTTAGAGGCGCTGAATCATGTGAACACGTGTGTGTGTCTGTGTGTGTGTGTGTGTGTGTCTGTGTGTGTGTGTCTCTGTGTGTGTGTGTGTACCTGCGGGGTTGGTCCTGTACTGACGCTAGGGCATGCTGGGCCGGCTGTAGCCGTTGTGTGTGTGTGTGTGTGTGTGTGTGTGTGTACCTGCGGGGTTGGTCCTGTATTGGCGCGAGGGCATGCTGGGCCGGCTGTAGCCGTTGTGTGTGTGTGAGTGTGTGTGTGTGTGTGTGTGTGTGTGTCTCTGTGTGTGTGTGTGTGTGTACCTGCGGGGTTGGTCCTGTACTGGCGCGAGGGCATGCTGGGCCGGCTGTAGCCGTTGTGTGTGTGTGAGTGTGTGTGTGTGTGTGTGTGTGAGTGTGTACCTGCGGGGTTGGTCCTGTACTGGCGCGAGGGCAAGCTGGGCCGGCTGTAGCCCACTCCGTTGAGCGCTAGCACTCTGAAGCTGTAGTGCACGTACGGGGAGAGCTTGAGGTGAGCCGTGGTCTTCGTCCCGGGAACCTCCGTGAGATTGAGCCACACACCACTCTGATGAAGACCGTCCTCGTACTGGATCAAGAACTCTGACACACACACACACACACACACACAACAGAGATCCATCACACACACTTCACTCAGGCGTGGTACTTTGATTTAAGTGCACGGGTGTGTGAGTGTGTATGAGTGTGTGTGTGTGTGTCGTACTCTTGATGGCGCTGTTGTGCTCGTCTCCAGGTGTGTGTGTGTGTGTATGAGTGTGTGTGTGTGTGTGTGTGTGTCGTACTCTTGATGGCGCTGTTGTGCTCGTCTCCAGGTGTGTGTGTGTGTGTGTGTCGTACTCTTGATGGCGCTGTTGTGCTCGTCTCCAGGTGTGTGTGTGTGTGTGTGTGTGTCGTACTCTTGATGGCGCTGTTGTGTTCGTCTCCAGGTGTGTGTGTGTGTGTGTGTGTGTGTGTCGTACTCTTGATGGCGCTGTTGTGCTCGTCTCCAGGTGTGTGTGTGTGTGTCTGTGTCGTACTCTTGATGGCGCTGTTGTGCTCGTCTCCAGGTGTGTGTGTGTGTGTATGAGTGTGTGTGTGTGTCGTACTCTTGATGGCGCTATTGTGCTCGTCTCCAGGTGTGTGTGTGTGTGTGTGTGTCGTACTCTTGATGGCGCTGTTGTGCTCGTCTCCAGGTGTGTGTGTGTGTGTATGAGTGTGTGTGTGTCGTACTCTTGATGGCGCTGTTGTGTTCGTCTCCAGGTGTGTGTGTGTGTGTGTGTGTGTCGTACTCTTGATGGCGCTGTTGTGCTCGTCTTCAGGTGTGTGTGTGTGTGTGTGTCGTACTCTTGATGGCGCTGTTGTGCTCGTCTCCAGGTGTGTGTGTGTGTGTGTGTGTGTGTGTCTGTGTGTCGTACTCTTGATGGCGCTGTTGTGCTCGTCTCCAGGTGTGTGTGTGTGTGTGTGTGTGTGTCGTACTCTTGATGGCGCTGTTGTGTTCGTCTCCAGGTGTGTGTGTGTGTCGTACTCTTGATGGCGCTGTTGTGCTCGTCTCCAGGTGTGTGTGTATGTGTGTGTGTGTGTGCGTCGTACTCTTGATGGCGCTGTTGTGCTCGTCTCCAGGTGTGTGTGTGTGTGTGTGTGTGTGTGTGTCGTACTCTTGATGGCGCTGTTGTGCTCGTCTCCAGGTGTGTGTGTGTGTGTGTGTGTCGTACTCTTGATGGCGCTGTTGTGCTCGTCTCCAGGTGTGTGTGTGTGTGTGTGTGTCGTACTCTTGATGGCGCTGTTGTGCTCGTCTCCAGGTGTGTGTGTGTGTGTGTCGTACTCTTGATGGCGCTGTTGTGCTCGTCTCCAGGTGTGTGTGTGTGTGTGTGTGTGTGTGTGTGTCGTACTCTTGATGGCGCTGTTGTGTTTGTCTCCAGGTGTGTGTGTGTGTCGTACTCTTGATGGCGCTGTTGTGCTCGTCTCCAGGTGTGTGTGTGTGTGTGTGTGTGTGTCGTACTCTTGATGGCGCTATTGTGCTCGTCTCCAGGTGTGTGTGTGTGTGTGTGTGTGTGTCGTACTCTTGATGGCGCTGTTGTGCTCGTCTCCAGGTGTGTGTGTGTGTGTGTGTGTCGTACTCTTGATGGCGCTGTTGTGCTCGTCTCCAGGTGTGTGTGTGTGTGTGTGTGTGTGTGTGTGTGTGTCGTACTCTTGATGGCGCTGTTGTGCTCGTCTCCAGGTGTGTGTGTGTGTGTGTGTGTGTGTGTCGTACTCTTGATGGCGCTGTTGTGCTCGTCTCCAGGTGTGTGTGTGTGTGTGTGTGTGTCGTACTCTTGATGGCGCTGTTGTGCTCGTCTCCAGGTGTGTGTGTGTGTGTCGTACTCTTGATGGCGCTGTTGTGCTCGTCTCCAGGTGTGTGTGTGTGTGTGTGTGTGTGTGTGTCGTACTCTTGATGGCGCTGTTGTGCTCGTCTCCAGGTGTGTGTGTGTGTGTGTGTGTGTGTGTGTGTGTGTGTGTGTGTCGTACTCTTGATGGCGCTGTTGTGCTCGTCTCCAGGTGTGTGTGTGTGTGTGTGTGTGTGTGTGTGTGTGTGTGTGTGTGTGTCGTACTCTTGATGGCGCTGTTGTGCTCGTCTCCAGGTGTCCAGGTGAGCTGAACACTCCTCGCTCCCGGATCCGTCAGCTCCAGATCAGTGGGAGCATCCGGCTGCCCTGAGGAGTTAAACACAGACAGATCCATCAGTTCATCATAACACACACACACACACACACACACCTGGAGACGAACACATGCTACATGAGACCAGATGATCAGATGCGAATCACATGACGACGCATGCACATCTGAACCAGAGTCACTTCAGAGACCAATGAGCGAACACACGATTCATCTGAAAATAAACTGAAATCATATCACAGATAAATGTGTGATCCAGCATGCTCCATTCCACACACACACGCCCTGGGGCATTATGGGATGCGATGCGGCACGGTGTGTGTTTACCGTAGATCGGCGCAGGAGTGGGCGGAGCCTCTGAGTGGGCGGGGTCAGGGAGTGAGGAAGAAGTGTGTTAGTTTACAGACAGTCACACACGAACAAGACTCACATTAGTTGGTTTTCTGTCACTATAATCCCTGGTTTCTGCAGGGAAGCGTCACACGAATCCGTCCGGAGAGGGACGGGGATTATAGATAATAATATTCTGAATGTTCTGATCCAATCTGACTTCTGACCTGTAATGCCTGAATCATAATCATACACTGTTGGTTCGTTGGCCAGAGGAGAACTGAGACTGAGTCTGGTTTCTCACAAGGGTTTTCTCCATTCTGTCACTGATGGAGTTCTGGTTCCTTCACTGTCGACTTTGGCTTTTGTCTTGCTTATTGGGGGACATTTAATTTAATAATCAACAATATTATTGATCTCCTGCATTGACACCATTATATGACAACTGAACTGAGCTGGACGATGACATCACGGTTTTCTCCAGAGCCGCTATATATATATATATATATACACACTGATCAAAATTTTAAACGCAACACCCATTTTCCCCCCATTTTTCATGAGCTGAACTCAAAGATCTGAGTCTTTTTCTATGTACACAAAAGACCTATTTCTCTCAAAAATTGTTCACAAATCTGTCTAAATCTGTGTTAGTGAGCACTTCTCCTTTGCCGAGATCATCCATCCTCCTCACAGGTGTGGCACATCAGGATGCTTGATTATTGCACAGGTGTGCCTTAGGCTGTCCACATTAAAAGGCCACTCTAATGTATGGAAGTTAATGGCCACTCCTCTTCAATGGCTGTGAGGAGTTGCTGGATATTGGCCGGACCTGGAATACGCTGTCGTATACGCCGATCCAGAGCATCCCAAACATGCTCAATGGGTGACATATGTCCGGTGAGTGTGCTGGCCATGCAAGAACTGGGATGTTTTCAGCTTCCAGGAATCGTGTACAGATCCTCCAACATGGGGCCGTGCGTTATCATGCTGCAACATGAAGCGATGGTCCTGGATGAATGGCACAACAATGGGCCTCAGGATCTCGTCACGGTTTCTCTGTGCATTCAAAATGCCATCAATAAAATGCACCTATGTTCGTTGTCCATAACATACGCCTGCCCATACCATAACCCCACCGCCACCATGGCCACTCGATCCACAACGCTGACAGCAAACCGCTCATCCACACGACGCCACACACGCTGTCTGCCATCTGTCCTGTACAGGGAAAACCGGGATTCATTCGTGAAGAGAACACCTCTCCAAAGCGCCAGACGCCATCGAATGTGAGCATTTGCCCACTCAAGTCGGTTCCGACGACGAACTGCAGTCAGGTGGAGACCCGATGAGGACGACGAGCATGCAGATGAGCTTCCCTGAGACGGTTTCTAACACTTTGTGCAGAAACTCTTTGGTTCTGCAAACCGATTGTTGCAGACGCTGTCCAGGTGGCTGGTCTCAGACGATCTTGTGTCCGGGTGGCTGGTCTCAGACGATCTTGTGTCCGGGTGGCTGGTCTCAGACGATCTTGTGTCCGGGTGGCTGGTCTCAGACGATCTTGTGTCCGGGTGGCTGGTCTCAGACGATCTTGTGTCCGGGTGACTGGTCTCAGACGATCTTGTGTCCAGGTGGCTGGTCTCAGACGATCTTGTGTCCGGGTGGCTGGTCTCAGACGATCTTGTTTCCGGGTGGCGGGTCTCAGACGATCTTGTGTGGCTGGTCTCAGACGATCTTGTGTCCGGGTGGCTGGTCTCAGACGATCTTGTGTCCGGGTGGCTGGTCTCAGACGATCTTGTGTCCGGGTGGCTGGTCTCAGACGATCTTGTGTCCGGGTGACTGGTCTCAGACGATCCGGGTGGCTTGTCTCAGACGATCTTGTGTCCGGGTGACTGGTCTCAGACGATCTTGTGTCCGGGTGGCGGGTCTCAGACGATCTTGTGTCCGGGTGACTGGTCTCAGACGATCTTGTGTCCGGGTGGCTGGTCTCAGACGATCTTGTGTCCGGGTGGCTGGTCTCAGACGATCTTGTGTCCGGGTGGCTGGTCTCAGACTATCTTGTGTCCAGGTGGCTGGTCTCAGACGATCTTGTGTCCGGGTGGCTGGTCTCAGACGATTTTGTGTCCGGGTGGCTGGTCTCAGACGATCTCGTGTCCGGGTGGCTGGTCTCAGACGATCTTGTGTCCGGGTGGCTGGTCTCAGACGATCTTGTGTCCGGGTGGCTGGTCTCAGACGATCTCGTGTCCGGGTGACTGGTCTCAGACGATCTCGTGTCTGGGTGACTGGTCTCAGACGATCTTGTGTCCGGGTGGCTGGTCTCAGACGATCTTGTGTCCGGGTGGCTGGTCTCAGACGATCTTGTGTCCGGGTGGCTGGTCTCAGACGATCTTGTGTCCGGGTGACTGGTCTCAGACGATCTTGTGTCCGGGTGGCTGGTATCAGACGATCTTGTGTCCGGGTGGCTGGTCTCAGACGATCTTGTGTCCGGGTGTCTGGTCTCAGACGATCTTGTGTCCGGGTGGCTGGTATCAGACGATCTTGTGTCCGGGTGGCTGGTCTCAGACGATCTTGTGTCCGGGTGTCTGGTCTCAGACGATCTTGTGTCCGGGTGGCTGGTCTCAGACGATCCTGGAGGTGAAGATGCTGATGTGGAGGTCCTGGGCTGGTGTGGTTACACGTGGTCTGGCGGTTGTGAGGCCGGTTGGATGTACTCCAAAATTCTCTGAAATGCCTTTGGAGACGGCTTATGGTGGAGAAATGAACATTCAATTCACGGGCAACAGCTCTGGTGGACACTCCTGCAGTCGGCATGATTGTTTACTTCAAGTATGTTGAGGCAGTTGGAGGTAGATGGCTCGCTTCCCCCCCGGACCCTCCAATACAGTAAAACTGCACATTTTAGAGTGGCCTTTATTGTGGACAGCCTAAGGCACACCTGTTCAATAATCATGCTGTGTAATCCGCATCTTGATGTGCCACACCTGTGAGGTGGATGGATGATCTCGGCACAGGAGAAGTGCTCACTAACACAGATTTAGACAGATTCATGAACAATATTTGAGAGAAATAGACCTTTTGTGTACATAGAAAAAGTCTTAGATCTTTGAGTTCAGCTCATGAAAAATGGGCTGAAAAAACAAAAGCGTTTATAATTTTGTTCAGTGTATAAATAAACTAAATGAATAACTTTTTTACAACAGAAATGAACCATCACAGAACTTACTTAAGCTGGACTGTGATGCTATTTTCTTCTAGAAACAATTATTTGTATTTGTAAATTTGTAAATATTGCATTATTTTCCTGTTATCACTCTAAAGCTGCTTTGAAACACTCTGTATTGTAAAAAGCTCTGTAGAAATAAAGGTGAGTTGACATTACACAGAGAACATCAGGACACTCACCGACCACCGTGAGCCGAGCGCTGGCCGAGTCCTGGTCCAGAGAGGTGTACGTGACACACGTGTACGTTCCTGCGTCGCTCTCCGTCACGCCTGTGATGGTCAGACTGTCCAACTGCGCTCGAAACCTGTGATCATCACACACACAACTCAGACTCAAATCTCAATGTTAAAGGTGACTTATTATGCCCCTTTTCACAAGATGTAAGATTATGCAAATGAGCTGAAGAATCCCTTTGTGGTCAGTTTGACCTTGAAAATATCGATTAGACCCAAATTTAAACCTTATTGATGCTGATTGAGACTGATATGATGCAGTGAATGATGAAGAGTCTCACACACACCTGTCGTCTTCGGGCAGCTCTCCTCCATCTTTGAGCCAGCTGGTGCTGGGAATGAGAGACGGGTCGTGCTTCACTTTACACTCGAACAGAACGTCCCGGTTCCTCTGGACCACCCTGTACTCCGGAGGCCTGAGGATCCGCGTCGGCTCTGGAGGAGATGCTGACCATCAGAAACATGCTCTCTCTCACACACACAAGCACACACAGAAGCTGCTGTGTGCTTCACAGTTACCAAGGTGTTGCTATGAGGTGGTCAGGATATTCTGGGGTGTTGCTAGGCGGTTGGGAAAGATCATTTGTAACACTAATTGCTTCCTCCAGACATGCTGATCTGTGGAATGAGAAACTGCCAGCTTGCAGATCCCAGTGTTTCTCCAGGCTCTCATCAGGTCTGAATGCTTTCCTAATGCTCTTCAGAGAGGCACTTAACTGAAGCCTAGAGCCTCAGACATGATGCATGATGGGATACCTGGAGCCGTCAAGACCAATATTCATGTCTGTTCATTTGAACATGCACTAAAACACTCAATATAGTGATGTTTTCTCAAGTTTAGATGGAATTATTTACAGCAGGGTTTTCAATCTTTTATATGCCACGGACCAATTTATACTAGGAAAAATGTATATATGTAAAGTATTACTTGGAAAAAAGGTATGTTCTATTCCAATTCATTCATTCTTACGTTCATTTACTTATTTATTTATATATTTTTGTATTATATATATATATTTTAGCAATTGTATTTATCTATTTATTTTTAATTATTTATTTATATAATTTTTGTGTATATGTATATTTTTTATTTAAATCGTTGCTGAAGATTTTTTTATATATATATATTCTATATTTATTTAAATATATTTTTATTGATTTCTTTTTCCACGGAGCCCCGATTCAGAAGCATGAACACTGAGGTGAATGATCTGACCTTTGACCTCCAGGTAGACGTGGTTCTCGGAGATGCCGAGGTTGTTCCTGGCGACGCAGGTGTACTTCCCGCCGTTTGCAGCCTGAGACACGTGAATCTCCAGCGTCCCGTTCTTGTGGAACACATAGGGATCTCCCTCCAACATGCTGGAGCGGCTGTCCTTAAACCTGCTCCGACACACAGGAGCGATGGAACGGTGGATTTATGAATATAACTACATCACACACACACACACTACAGCAATAGTGGTCCTGATTTAAAGCAGCACTGCGGAGAGGACAATCCCATAATGCACTGTGGTTTAAGGGATAATGTACATCCAGCCGGTTGTTATCTCAGAATAAACCCGACGGTGATCAGGATCAGGTCTTCATTGTGTTTATTCTGAGATCACACACGTTTGTGTTTGATGGGGAGTGTGTTCAGTCTCACCATGTGACGGCCGGGACGGGCGAGCCGAAGGACAGGCACTCCAGCAGAGCGGGGCGGTTCTCGATCACCTGATACACCTTATTAGGGGCCGTCAGAACTCTGGGCGGCTCCGCTGGAACACACACAGGTCACATGATCATCACATCCAGCGACGAAACGCTAACAGACGTCAGTGTGTGTGTTGACGGCTCATCAGTGTGTGTGTGTGTGTGTGTTGTCGGCTCGTCAGTGTGTGTGTGTGTGTGTGTTGTCGGCTCGTCAGTGTGTGTGTGTGAGTGTGTGTGTGTATGATGTTGTTGGCTCGTCAGTATGTGTGTGATGTTGTTGGCTCGTCAGTATGTGTGTGATGTTGTTGGCTCGTCAGTGTGTGTGTGTGTTGTCGGCTCGTCAGTGTGTGTGTGTGTGTGTGTGTGTGTGTGTGTGTTGTTGGCTCGTCAGTGTGTGTGTGTGTTGTCGGCTCCTAGGTGTGTGTGTGTGTGATGTTGTCAGCTCGTCAGTGTGTGTGTGTGTGTGTGTGTGTGTGTCGGCTCTTCAGTGTGTGTGTGTGTGTGTGTGATGTTGTCAGCTCGTCAGTGTGTGTGTGTGTGTGTGTGTTGTCGGCTCCTAGGTGTGTGTGTGTGATGTTGTCAGCTCGTCAGTGTGTGTGTGTGTGTGTGTGTGTGTGTGTGTTGTCGGCTCCTAGGTGTGTGTGTGATGTTGTCAGCTCGTCAGTGTGTGTGTGTGTGTGTGTGTCGGCTCACCCAGCACGTTGACGAAGGCGTTGGCCAGTAAGTACCCGTGTTGATTGGAGGCGTTACACTGGTAAACGGCGCTGGAGCCCGTCTGGACCTCGGAGAAGATGATGCTGTCGTCCTCCACCGTCCGGCTCGGGTCTTTAGGAGTGTCTGTCAGCAACAACAACACAACGTCAGTCAGAGGTCAGGGGTCAGAGGTCAGGGGTCAGCTGGGACGGACAGTAACTGACCCTCGATGGGCAGGCCGTTCATGGACCACTGGATGTGGGGTTTGGGGTGTCCTCGGGCCCGGCACGTGATGACGCCCGTCTCCAGCGGAGCCAGAACCAGATTCCTGGGAGCGCTGATCCAGTACGGAGCCGCTGCCGAGAGATAACAGCGGTTAGTGCTCTTTCTACAAGACTCAACATTTACACCAACATCTGAACCTTCAGCCTGATTTACTGATAAACTCCACAGCAGCCAATCAAACATCAGACCCAGAGATTTTTCTCCAAGCTTTACAATGGCAGTGAATGGCTATTTCTGTTTTGAAGTCCATAAAAGTGCATCTGTCCATCATAAAAGTGCATCTGTCCATCATAAAAGTGCATTCTTTTAGATTAGGTGAGATTAGGACTGCGCATGCACGGGCGGTGTTTGTTTGTGTTTAGAGCTCCGTCGAATTGATTCATTAATCCTTGATTTTCTTCTTTACCACTCATTTATTAACAAGCACTTTCTATTTTTATATCGTGTGAACCTATCCTCGATACTATTCCCTATAAAAAAACAATCAGATTGCTTTGATATCGCTACTTAGATCCAACTTTGCGAATCTCGGCTACTAGCCTTTAGCCCGCTAGCATTTCACGCGTGGGCTCGCGCCTATCGAGCGTCTGATTTAACACCCGATTCACTGAAAGGATACAGGTTATATCCAGCATTCCAGTCCTAAATTAGTAGTGATATTGGTAGTATCACTGTTAATTTACTGTTCATCTGTTATAATGGCGAACATATCGGATGTGTGTCTAACGTTACCTCTGAGTGCAGGTGAGGACACATTCGAGCTGATGTCGGTGCGATTGGAACTGGAATCGGTGGAGAAACAGATCCGTGGTCTGCTGGAGAGGCAAGCCGAGCTGCGGGATCGGCGATCAGCGCTTGAAACGTCACGCGCCGATGCTCACAAGTCAGTGGTTAGTAACTTTTTGACTCCGACTTCCTTTACTCCGTGCGTTTCTCTGCCCAGGAGGACGCGATCATCTCTGGCTTCATTCACTCCGGCACCTACACAACACCATGGACCCTGGGTGATCCCACAGCGGAAGACACGAGCCAGGACCAGAGCAAGAACCTCTCCGCCCCTCCCGGTCTTCGAGATCTCCACCCGGAACCGCTTCTCCCCTCTTCGCGAGTCGGAACGCGACGACGCCGTGATCATCGGCACTTCCATGGTCCGTCATGTCCGCGCTACCTCAGGTAAGGGTAAGGTGCGCACTCACTGCTTTCCTGGTGCTCGTGTTCTTGATGTCGCCGCACAGGTTCCTGAGATTCTGAACGGTGACGAGCGCGTCGGAGCCGTTGTCCTCCATGCGGGAACGAACGATATCAGGCTGCGGCAGACGGAGGTTCTGAAGAAGGACTACAGGAGCCTGATCGAGACGGTACGCAGAACAGCGCCTGAGGCAACGATCATCGTGTCTGGACCGCTTCCCACGTACCGACTAGGACAGGAAAGGTTCAGTAGACTATTTGCTCTAAATGAATGGTTAATGTCATGGTGTAATGAACAGAAACTGCTCTTTGTAAATAATTGGAATCTGTTCTGGGAGCGACCTAGGCTCTACCGTGCTGATGGCCTGCACCCCAGCAGAATCGGAGCGGCTGTTCTGTCGGACAACATCTCCAAGACGTTACACACCATATGACTAGTAAGTCAAAGTCCAATTCACAGTCTTTGCTGTCCCAACTTAATTGATATAAGTAGTGTAGAACATTATATAGAAACTGTGTCTATTCCTCGTCTAGTGAGGCCAAACAATAAATCTAGTGTAGGATCTAGGAAAAATCTTATTGTAATTAAACCAGAAAATCTAAATATCAGTGAACAAAAACAATTTCTAAAACTAGGTCTTCTAAACATTAGATCGCTCACACCTAAGGCGGTTATTGTAAATGAAATGGTCACAGATAATAGCTTCGATGTACTTTGCCTTACTGAAACCTGGCTTAAACCAAATGAGTATTTCGGTCTAAATGAGTCTACTCCGCCAGGATGTTGTTATAAGCAGGAGCCCCGTCTGATCGGTCGTGGCGGCGGTGTTGCAACAATCTATAGAGATATTCTTAATGTTACTCAGAAAACAGGTCACAGGTTTAACTCGTTTGAAGTACTTGTGCTAAATGTTACGCTCTTAGATGTAAGAAAGAAATCCCCATTATCTCTAGCCTTGGCTACTGTATATAGACCGCCAGGGCCCTACACTGATTTCCTAAAAGAGTTTGCAGACTTTCTCTCAGATCTATTGGTCAATGTCGATAAAGCAATAATTGTTGGAGATTTTAACATACACGTAGATAACACAAATGATGCGTTAGGGACTGCGTTTACAGATTTATTAAACTCTTTTGGGGTCAAGCAAAACGTCAGTGGTCCCACTCATCGTCTAAATCATACACTAGACTTAATTATATCATATGGAACCGATCCAACCGATATAGATATTATACCGCAAAGTGACGATCTCACTGATCATTACATGGTAACTTGTATAATACGTACTGCTGAAATTTGTCATGTTGCGCCGCGTTATCGACCAGGCAGAACAATCCTTCCAATCACTATAGATAGATTCTCAAATAGCTTACCTGATCTATCTCAGCTGCTCAGAGAACCCAAACAAACAGATGAACTAGAGGAAATGACCAGCAATTTGAGCACCATTTTCTCTAGTACATTAGATATTGTTGCACCAATTAGATTGAAAAAGGTTAGAGAGAAAACTAAAGCACCATGGTACAATAGTACTACACATGCTATCAAGAGAGAAACTCGTAACTTAGAGCGTAAATGGAAACAAACTAATTTAGAGGTCTTTAGAATCGCGTGGAAAGACAGTATGTCACGTTATAAAAAGGCTCTAAAAGCAGCCAGGGCTGAGCATCTCCGCAAACTAATAGAAAATAACCAAAATAATCCAAGGTTTTTATTTAACACCGTGGCTAGACTAACAAATAAACAGACATCACCAGAGCAAAATATTCCGTTACAGTATAGTTGTAATGATTTTATGAATTACTTCAATGAGAAAATAGAAAGCATCCGAAATACAATTGTAAATGTACAATCCTCTATGGTGTCTTGTGATTCAGGCTCAATTATCGTCCCTCAAGAACAACTACACCGCTTTACAACTGTAGGACAGGAAGAGCTAAATAAACTTATCATTGCATCTAAACCAACAACATGTTTATTAGATCCAATACCCACTAAACTACTGAAAGAAGTGTTACCTGTAGTGGAAGAGCCTCTTCTCAATATTATTAACTCGTCTTTATCTTTAGGTCATGTTCCAAAAATATTCAAGCTGGCAGTAATAAAACCTCTTATTAAGAAACCGCAATTAGATCAAAATAACTTAGCAAATTACAGACCGATTTCAAATCTTCCATTTATGTCTAAAATACTAGAAAAAATTGTGTCCGCTCAATTGTGTTCTTTCTTGCAAGAAAATGAGATATATGAAAAATTTCAGTCAGGATTCAGACCGCATCATAGCACAGAAACTGCGCTAGATAAAATTACAAATGATTTACTTTTAGCGTCTGACCAAGGCTGTATCTCAATACTAGTTCTACTCGATCTTAGCGCTGCGTTCGACACTATAGATCATAAAATACTCTTGGATCGACTACAAAACATGGAATTAATTTCCACTGCTATGCTGATGACACTCAATTATATATTTCATCACGACCAGATGAATACACTAACTTATCTAAATTGACAGAATGTCTTAAAGATATAAAATGCTGGATGACGTGTAATTTCCTGCTATTAAATCCAGATAAAACTGAGGTATTACTTATTGGTCCAAAAAACTACCCACAAAATCTCTTACAATACAACTTTAATTTAGAAGGATGTACTGTTACTTTATCCTCTACGGTAAAAGACCTGGGTGTTATACTAGACCGCAACTTGTCTTTCGAAAATCATATTTCGTATGTTACAAGAACAGCCTTTTTCCATCTTAGAAACATTGCTAAATTACGTAACATGCTATCTGTTTCTGATGGAGAAAAGTTAGTTCATGCATTCATGACCTCGAGACTAGATTACTGTAATGCTTTATTAGCTGGTTGTCCTGCATCCTCAATAAACAAGCTACAGTTAGTCCAAAATGCAGCCGCTAGAGTTCTTACTAGGTCAAGAAAATATGATCATATAACACCGATTCTATCATCTCTGCACTGGTTACCTATTAAGTTCCGTATCAATTACAAAGAACTACTACTGACCTATCAAGCCCTAAATGGTTTAGCTCCTGTGTATTTAATGGACCTTCTATCGCCCTACAATCCATCGCGTTCGTTAAGATCACTAAATTCGAGGCTTCTGGTCATTCCTAGGATATCTAAGTCCACTAAAGGAGGGAGGGCGTTCTCACATTTAGCTCCTAAACTCTGGAATAGCCTTCCTGATACTGTTCGTGGCTCAGACTCGCTCTCCCAGTTCAAAACTAGATTAAAGACGCATCTCTTCAGCCAAGCATTCACATAATGCTTACCTTTTATACCACTGTTGAATCAGATCGAATGCATTAATATTATGAACAGCAGCTACGCTAATTATCTCCCATCTGCTTTTCTGCTGTTATCTCGGGACGCTAGTCGAGGTAAATAGCGTTCGTCAGCTCCAGTTTGTATCCAGCCTCTCACGGAGACTTCAGATGCTCCAACACCTGCGATGAGACGACTCGACGCCTGTGAAGAGACGACTCGACGCCTGTGAAGAGACGACTCGACGCCTGTGAAGAGACGACTCGACGCCTGTGAAGAGACGACTCGACGCCTGTGAAGAGACGACTCGACGCCTGTGAAGAGACGACTCGACGCCTGTGAAGAGACGACTCGACGCCTGTGAAGAGACGACTCGACGCCTGTGAAGAGACGACTAAACGCCTGTGAAGAGACGACTAGACGCCTGTGAAGAGACGACTCGACGCCTGTGGAGAGACGACTCGACGCCTGTGAAGAGACGACTCGACGCCTGTGAAGAGACGACTCGACGCCTGTGAAGAGACGACTCGACGCCTGTGATGAGACGACTCGACGCCTGTGAAGAGACGACTCGACGCCTGTGAAGAGACGACTCGACGCCTGTGGAGAGACGACTCGACGCCTGTGAAGAGACGACTCGACGCCTGTGAAGAGACGACTCGACGCCTGTGAAGAGACGACTCGACGCCTGTGATGAGACGACTCGACGCCTGTGAAGAGACGACTCGACGCCTGTGAAGAGACGACTCGACGCCTGTGGAGAGACGACTCGACGCCTGTGAAGAGACGACTCGACGCCTGTGAAGAGACGACTCGACGCCTGTGAAGAGACGACTCGACGCCTGTGATGAGACGACTCGACGCCTGTGATGAGACGACTCGACGCCTGTGATGAGACGACTCGACGCCTGTGAAGAGACGACTCGACGCCTGTGAAGAGACGACTCGACGCCTGTGGAGAGACGACTCGACGCCTGTGAAGAGACGACTCGACGCCTGTGAAGAGACGACTCGACGCCTGTGAAGAGACGACTCGACGCCTGTGAAGAGACGACTCAACGCCGGCGATATGTTATGCCCTAAATTAATACATGATGATTAACTAACTATATTCTTCTATGTACATTTCTGAAATGCACTTTCTGTAAAGCTGCTTTGAAACAATATGTATTGTGAAAAGCGCTATACAAATAAATTTGAATTGAATTGAATTTGAATTCTTCAAAACAGAAACAGCCATTCACTGCCATTATAAAGCTTGGGAGAGCCAGGACATGTTTAATATAACTCTGACTGTGTTCGTCTGAAAGAAGAGAGTCATATACACCTAGGATGAGTAAATCATAGGCTAATTTAGATTTTTGGGTGAACTATCCCTTTAATGTGAGTGAGTAATGCCTCAGGATTGCTCCATCCGGACAGTGCTCCAAGCGTGTGTGTTTGTGCTGTTTGCACCTTTGACGGAGACTCTGATGGTGTGGTGAACTGAGCCGAGCCGGTTCCCGGCAGTGCAGCGATACTCCCCGGCGTCCGCCTCCGACACGTCCGAGATCCGCAGAGTCTTGTTGAAGTTCATCAGGGAGGCTCGGTGACCGGGGATCTCCCCGCTGAGCTTCGTCCAGGAGACCGCCGGAGTGGGACTGAGCGGGAACATCAGAACGTCACAGACCCAAACACACACTAGAGTTACTGAGGTGAATCTGAACTCACAGGCCGTCTGCGATGCACTCCAGCTCCAGGACCTCTCCTCGCAGGACCATCTGAGAGCTGAGCGAGCCGCTGGGAACCAGGAGCACCGGCACTCGCTCCTCCACCGGCTTATCTGGGAGAAAACGCTCAGTGAGATCCTGCTTCATAACCATAACTCATATCAACTAGGGTTGGGAATCGAAAATCTGAATACTTGAGGTCAGGAATCGGATACTTGTTATAAAATTAAAATTATGATTCCTCTTATCGATTCCTTGGTGAGCATTTCAATATAACTTTAAACCATTCAAGCGCGAGAGACTCTGTCTGTGCTGAGGGCGTGTGTATCAGTGTACTGGACCCGTGCAGCTCTTAAAGTGACAGCACTAATATTCCTGCCGTCTCTATAATAACACTAATATTCCTGCCGTCTCTATAATAACACTAATATTCCTGCCGTCTCTATAATAACACTAATATTCCTGCCGTCTCTATAATAACACTAATCAAACAACAGAAGACTGAGAAAATTCACTCGTTCTTGACTGAATAACTTTTGTATTTTAATAAAATATATTTTATTTATAAAGTGTAGCGTTATTTTACATTTGAGAACAGTTTCTGTACCAGAATACCTGAAAATCTTAAAACACTTTATTTCAATCGTATCTTTGTTCAGTTCTTGCGATTGCTAATTTTTATTACTTTTATTTACTTGTCTTTAATAATGCTTGAAATGTATATTAGCTAGGATAGTTGTTTTTCTATGGTACTTTTAAACCACAAGTAAACGTTCCTTGTGTAAGTGTTCCTTAGCCTGTTGATTTTTGTTCATCATATCTAAGTTGTTGTTTTTTTACCTTATTGGAACCGGACTTGGGAATCGATAAGAATCGGAATCAGAATCGTTAAACTCAAAGGATCCCCAACCCTAATATCAGCAGACATCAGGAAGATGAAGAGAGTTCAGAAAGAGATGATGAGGAACGACAGGATCATTGTGTCTAAAGCAGAAGACGTCTGAGATCTGTTAGTCAGTAAACAAGGACGCTCCGGAATGAGGGAGTACAGCGGAGGTTAGAGGTCACTGGGTGTGGGTTAGACCAGAGTCACTAGGGGGCGCCGTCACTCACCGCTAAACAAATCAGTGTCATTGAAATAATCTGCCATTGTGTCATTGAGTGAATCCACTGAAACACAACAAAACAACAGAACAAATCAAACACATGCAAAGCAACCGCAGGAACACGCTGCGATACTCTCACAGCTGCGGCGATGGCATTTACGGCTCAAGAGCTCTTTGTTTCGCTCAGAGAGCAGACAGTGCATTAAAGTGACGAATGGATGTTCGGGGGTTTTATTGACGCTCAAACCAACCCAAAACTACAATAGTGCTCATTCAGAGGGAATGTCTAGGGGAAGCGGCCTCCCACAGCTCTCGACTCACGGTCGATGACGTGGACGGTGATGGGCTGCTTCTGCTGGATGGTCTGCGTGTGTGGGAACCGGGCGTAGCAGATGTAGTTGTTCCTGGAGTCCTCCATCAGGACGTTGGAGAAGTACAGGTCTCCGTTCAGACCCTGAGACACTCGCCGGCTCTGCGGCAGACGCTGGAAATCTGCACACACACACACACACACACACACACACACACGGTTAGAGTCGGAGAGAAAGGGAAGCTGCGCTAGTCTTTTCTCCTCTATTGTGTCGTATGTCGAGTGAAACGCTTCTGGAACAAGAACAAATGTGGGCGGGGCTTGATTGTGTCCATGATGAATTGATTGGATGGTGGCGGTTTGCTATGTGAGTGACAGGTTGCCCCGCCCTCACCTTGATTCTGTACATCGTTTGTTAATTGGATGTTGGGATGTAGGCGTGGCTCTATGCAAATGAGCGTGAGCTTGCAGGGGCGGAGTTTTTTTGTCTGTGGGGAACTGACTGGATAGTGGTGGTTTGCTATTGGTGGATCTCATGTGAGTGACAGGTTGCCCCGCCCTCGCCTTGATTCTGTGCATCGTTTGTTGATTGGATGTTGGGATGTGGGCATGGCTCTATGCAAATGAGCGTGAGCTTGCAGGGGCGGAGTTTTTTTGTCTGTGGGGAACTGATTGGATAGTGGTGCTTTGCTATTGGTGGATCTCATGTGAGTGACAGGTTGCCCCGCCCTCGCCTTGATTCTGTGCATCGTTTATTGATTGGATGTTGGGATGTGGGCGTGGCTCTGTATGCAAATGAGCATGAGCTTAAAGGGGCGGAGTTTAATCACACTAAATGATCGGAGAAGATCCATTTGATTAAATAACATTAAAAAAATGAATTGTTCATAGCTAACATGCGATCAGAAAACAGATTTAATGAGGACACTTACTGTTGTCCATCCAGAACACGATGGGCGGCGGCAGGCCGGCGGGGGGGCGGCACTGCAGGACCAGCGACTGTCCCTCCTGCGCCACGATTGGACTGAACTTCTCTTTAGACCACAGAGGAGATCCTACAGGAAGAGGAAGCAGCCGTGATCACATGACTCGACACGAGCGTGAGCGTGACGGACAGGTGAAACGTGATGCGGGAGAGAGATCTAAACACGGATGAGGTCACTATGAGGTCAGTCTGCAGGAGTGGGCCGCCACATGCATTACAGCCAAACATTCCCATTTACCTCCGAGTATCAGATCTCTGATGACGCTGAAAATGTCTTACGACACACAAAACAACGAGAGTGAGAGGGTTAAACGAGGCTGTGTGAGAGATGAGATAGAGCGAGTGATCTGATTGGTGGAGCTGACGTACTGGACTGGCGGATGGTGATGTGGTTGGAGAGGGCGGAGCCGAGCTGGTTGTGGGCGGTGCACTGATACACGCCCTCGTAGGCGTCGGCCTTCTCTCCGCCGATGATGTCGATCACCAGCGTTCCTGAATGAGGCTTCATCGTGACTTTGGGATCTTTATCGATGTCGAAATGCGTCCCGTTCCTCGTCCACGAGAAGCTGTGGGCGATCAGACCAAGGCAAGTTCATTTACAGCACATTAGATACAAAAGTGCATCAATCCATCATAAAAGTGGAGTCTCGGAGTGTGTGTGAGTCTCGTCTTGGAGTGTGTGTGAGTCTCGTCTCGGAGTGTGAGTCTCGTCTCGTCTCGGAGTGTGTGTGAGTCTCGTCTCGGAGTGTGTGTGTGACTCTCGTCTCGTCTCGGAGTGTGTGTGTGACTCTCGTCTCGGAGTGTGAGTCTCGTCTCGTCTCGTCTCGGAGTGTGTGTGAGTCTCGTCTCGTCTCGGAGTGTGTGTGAGTCTCGTCTCGTCTCGGAGTGTGTGTGAGTCTCGTCTCGTCTCGGAGTGTGTGTGTGACTCTCGTCTCGTCTCGGAGTGTGTGTGTGACTCTCGTCTCGTCTCGGAGTGTGTGTGTGACTCTCGTCTCGTCTCGGAGTGTGTGTGTGACTCTCGTCTCGGAGTGTGAGTCTCGTCTCGTCTCGTCTCGGAGTGTGTGTGAGTCTCGTCTCGTCTCGTCTCGGAGTGTGTGTGAGTCTCGTCTCGTCTCGTCTCGGAGTGTGTGTGAGTCTCGTCTCGGAGTGTGTGTGAGTCTCGTCTCGGAGTGTGTGTGAGTCTCGTCTCGTCTCGTCTCGGAGTGTGTGTGAGTCTCGTCTCGTCTCGTCTCGGAGTGTGTGTGAGTCTCGTCTCGTCTCATCTCGGAGTGTGTGTGAGTCTCGTCTCGGAGTGTGTGTGTGACTCTCGTCTCGTCTCGGAGTGTGTGTGTGACTCTCGTCTCGTCTCGGAGTGTGTGTGAGTCTCGTCTCGGAGTGTGTGTGAGTCTCGTCTCATCTCGGAGTGTGTGTGAGTCTCGTCTCGTCTCGTCTCGGAGTGTGTGTGAGTCTCGTCTCGGAGTGTGTGTGAGTCTCGTCTCGTCTCGTCTCGGAGTGTGTGTGTGACTCTCGTCTCGTCTCGGAGTGTGTGTGAGTCTTGTCTCGGAGTGTGTGTGTGAGTCTCGTCTCGGAGTGTGTGTGAGTCTCGTCTCGTCTCGGAGTGTGTGTGAGTCTCGTCTCGGAGTGTGTGTGAGTCTCGTCTCGGAGTGTGTGTGAGTCTCATCTCAGAGTGTGTGTGAGTCTCGTCTCGGAGTATGTGTGAGTCTCGTCTCGGAGTGTGTGTGTGACTCTCGTCTCGTCTCGGAGTGTGTGTGTGACTCTCGTCTCGGAGTGTGAGTCTCGTCTCGTCTCGTCTCGGAGTGTGTGTGAGTCTCGTCTCGTCTCGTCTCGGAGTGTGTGTGAGTCTCGTCTCGGAGTGTGTGTGAGTCTCGTCTCGTCTCGGAGTGTGTGTGAGTCTTGTCTCGTCTCGTCTCGTCTCGGAGTGTGTGTGTGACTCTCGTCTCGTCTCGGAGTGTGTGTGAGTCTTGTCTCGGAGTGTGTGTGTGAGTCTCGTCTCGGAGTGTGTGTGTGACTCTCGTCTCGTCTCAGAGTGTGTGTGAGTCTCGTCTCGTCTCGTCTCGGAGTGTGTGTGAGTCTCGTCTCGGAGTGTGTGTGTGAGTCTCGTCTCGGAGTGTGTGTGTGACTCTCGTCTCGTCTCAGAGTGTGTGTGAGTCTCGTCTCGTCTCGTCTTGGAGTGTGTGTGTGAGTCTCATCTCGTCTTGGAGTGTGTGTGAGTCTCATCTCGGAGTGTGTGTGAGTCTCGTCTCGGAGTGTGTGTGTGAGTGTCTCACCCGGGGTGCGGCTTCCCTTTGGCCTCGCAGTGGATGACGATGTTCTCGCGCGGGTCCACGATATATTCCTTCGGCGACTGATGGGTGATAGTGGGCGGCTGCGGCACTGCGGGTCACATGACACGGGTTAGCTTAGATACAGCCAATCAGAGAATACACACACACACACACACAGCAGGATCTCTCGACATGCAAAACAATACGAAACACATTAATCTACTGCATCACATGCACTGAAATGCTTCTTTCCTTGCTGTAAATCAGTGCTGTGTGTGAATGGTGTTGGTCAGTCACAGCATGCAAACACTGCAGCAATACATCATCATCATCATCATCATCATCATCATCATCAGCAGCAAACCAACCACAGCGCAGGACAAGCTCAACACACAGCAAACCGAGCGAGGAGACACTTACATCCTTCCAGGAGTTTAGCTAGAGAATCACAGACAGACGTGAGAGAGCGTCAGAACATGAGGACCACCAGATCTCAGATCAGATTCATCACACTGGCGAGGGCTTTCTCTGATTGGCTGACGAGGGACTTTCATTTTGACAGCGCACCATTAGTTTACTGTACTAGTTTAACAGCTCTGTCTTATAAAGAATTAGACACAACTGTTAAAGAAAGAAAGTACATGTTTCAGTGTTTCATGTCTCAGCTTTGTCTCAGATGTTTCTCCTCTGTCTGTCAGCTGTAGGTATGTAGATTCGAAAGATAATTAATATGCAGTAATATTGCGTAATATCTGACTGCACTGAAATTGGACGAGAACTAAACTGGAACAGGCTTAATGTCTTCAGTGATTGTTCTCCTCCAGTAACTGTGTCTTGATGTAAGAGTGTTTAGATGTGTGTGTGCTGGAACACGAGGAAGAGCCTCATGATCCTGCAGTGAAGCTGTGTGACACACACATTCTCTCACACACACACACACACACACACGCACATTCTCACACACACTCACACACTCACACACACACACACACACATTCTCTCACACACACACACACACACACACACACACACACACACACACACACACACACACACACACACACGCAATCACACACACACTCACACACTCACACACACACACACACATTCTCTCACACACACACACACACACACACACACACATTCTCACACACACTCACACACACACACACACACACACACACACGCAATCACACACACACACACACACAATCACACACACACACACACACACACACACACACACACACACACACACACACACACACACACACACACACACACACACACACACACACACACACACACACACACACACACACACACACACACACACACACACTCACTCACACTCACACACACTCACATTCTCTCAATGGTTCAATGGTTGTTAATGAGGAATTGTGGGATACGTACGGTCCAGAGGAACCTCCAGCGCCGTAATCATGTGACCCAGCAGCAGCAGCAGAGCCAATCGGCCGTCGCTCGGCCTGTCCATCACGCCGCGTGACCAATGAGGCGCCTCGGAGTGAGTTTAGCCCCGCCCTCGAGCCGTTAGTCCCGCCCTCGAGCCAATCAGGACACACTGAGAGACAGAGAGAGAGAGAGAGAGAGAGAGTTACTGGCTGATCATCATCACACACACACAGCTCTGACTCAAACCCTGGGAAGCAGGATTTATAGACACACACACACACACACACACACACACACACACTGCCAATGCAAACGCTGCTTCAGGCAGCAGAGAACCCCTGGTTGCCATGGTTACTGAGATCTGCACCACAGACACTTTCCTCTTCACACTCTCATGGATGTTGGGATGCACACCTGTCAATCAACTCTCCACTCGAGGCGTATGATGTCATCAGGTGTTCAGACCATGTGATGTTTAACCGGTCCAATGATACGCTTGATTCACTGGATCATGTGACTCCCTGAGCTGTTCGTTCCCCTGTCCTCAGACTGAACTAACTCCACCAAACACAGCTGCGGTCGCCAAACATCCTCAGAAACGCAAATGCAAACAAGTACGATTTGAATTAAGTGTTGGAACATGTCTGTGATGCAAATGAAAACAAATAAAACATTAACAAACACTGATTAAGCCTCAAAACGCTGGAAATGTAGAATTCAACAGAACTCAGATTAATGAAACACACCTGTGATGAACAACTACGTCTGAGGCCACCTATAGCAGACTGAGTGAGAGTGTGTGTGTATGTGTGTGTGTGTGTGTATGTATGTGTGTGTGTGTGTATGTGTGTGTGTGTGTGTGTAGGAGCCGCATTTGAGTTTTATTTTTGGTTTCATAATTTACTTATAATTGTTTTTTCTATTGCATTTGAGTGGTACACCTTCTACAGCCAGAGAGGGCGCTATCCTATAAGTTGGAGTGTGTAGCGCATGAGAGAAGGAGAAGGCGTGCCAGCTGATACAGTCTTTGACCTCGGCCTGGATCTGTGCTACTGAAGCTTGGCCTGTGTGAGAAAGCTGAACGCCAAGCGCAACAAAGGAATGCTTAAAGACATTTAAACCAGTTCTCAGTTTTTGTTTTGTACTTTATATTTATTTGCAATAAATATCCACAATCATTCAAGCAACAACACTCTTGGATTTTCTTGGATTCGGGCTGTGAGTCTGACCCGGTACTCGCATTCTCCAGGTGGTTGGAAACATTAACAGGGGGTTACAGGAAAAACCCAACAATGTTTTTGCCGCTACATTTCGTCAAAGACTAGCTGTGAATTGATCAAAAAAGGATTTATGTTGAAACTACGTGAGGAAGACGAAGCAAACATCGGTCTAAGCGTGGCAAGCCAAACAAAGAAACACTTTGATTGAGGTATGTGCTTTCAAAGTCTATAATTTTTAAAGAATATGGAAACCAATCTCACCGCAGGATTGTTGAGTTGGTGAACTGTGACAAGTAATTAAAAGCGGTGAAAAGCAGTTTGTCGTTGTGAAAACACAGCCAAATTGGAACAAATGAAATGCAACGAGATGTTGATTTTTGCAAAGAATACGAACTGCTTTCTTCATTTTTTGAAAACTTTTGCATTGATTGAAGTAAGATAAAAACTTTCTGAGATTTTTGGGAAGGTTTTTTTTGAGAATAATGGCTGATTCTAACGAGGAAGAAATAACTCCTGGAAGAGACATGAATGAAACTGTCGCGCAATTGCGCTCGTCTAGAGGAGGAAAAATGTCACATGTAACACGGAGAATGAACATTGTGAATGATTTAATGACTAGTCCGGAATTTCTGGATGAAGTTAAAAAAAACATGATTAAGTTTAATGAATTTCTTGGAGAGTTCAAAGCCGTGCATGCCTCCTATAGTGAAATGTTGGATGAGGAAGCAAATCAAGAAGACCACGAAACATGGTATCAGCCTAGATATGTACAGATAACGGCTTTTATGGCTAACTTTGAAAATTGGATTTCAGCTATAGAAAACCCAGGTTCCCAAGCCATAGGTGAAGCCACCTCTTCTGTCACCCAAATAGGAGATTGTGATACTGATACTGATGCGCAATCATTGGGATCACGTGGATCGTCTGTGTCATTGCGCATCAGTGCAGAAGCAGAGAGAGTAGCTTTAATGGCTAAAGCTGCAAAGCTGCAAGAAAGGCATGCAATTGAGGAGCAGGAGCATATTCTAAGAAAAAAGAGAGAAACTTTAGAGTTGCATTCTGAAATTGAAGCCACTACTGCAAAAATTAATTATCTGAAAGAAGCTGAAATAGAAATGAATAAACCTGCCCACTCTGATGTCACAGTTCAGATGCCTTTGTTGGGTGCAGAAGCAAATGAAGTGAAGACAAAATCAACAGTGACAAATGTACCATTGGATGAAAAGCTAGATAGCCCACTTGATGTCCATGAAAGGACGTCTCCAGTAGTTAAAACCAGGCCAGGTGTTCAGGTTCAATTTCCTACAACAACAGGCCCAGGTACATATCACAGCAGACCTGACTTGCAGCCCAGAACTAGCAGGGATATCCGGTCACAACTACAGCAGACCTCAGCTCACAGTATTCCCCCTGTCAGTCCCCAGCAAGCAAGGTCACTCCCAGCTGATCAGTCCACTGTACCTGTACCTCAAGGGCAAATTCCTACACCCAGTTCGGCACAGGAAAGCCACATGATTAAAATTCTGGAAAAGCAGAGTGAATTAACAAGGATTCTTATGAAACAGCAACTTCTGTCTACGCTACCACAAGGTAGCATTCCACTCTTTGATGGACAAGTTCTTGAGTACAAGTCGTTCATTCACTCCTTTGAAAATATGGTTGAAAGCAAAACCGATAACAATAAAGATAGATTGCAGTTTCTTATTCAATATACAAGAGGTCTAGCACAAAGGCTAGTCAAGAGTTGTGAGTACTTGTCACAAGATAGAGGCTACAAGAGAGCAAAGGAGTTGCTAAAGGAAAATTTTGGAAACGAATACAAGATCTCTTGTGCTTACTTGGAAAAAGCCCTATCCTGGTCTCAAATAAAATCTGAGGATTTTAAATCGCTACAGGATTATGCCATGTTCCTTAGGAGCTGCTGCAATGCTATGGAGGAAATGGAATATATGGAGGAGCTGGAAACAATATCCAATATGAGAAGCATTGTGCTCAAGCTACCATACAAGCTTCGGGAGAGATGGCGTAACAAGGCTTATGAGCTACAAGAACAACGTAGTCGTAGGGTAAGGATTGTGGATCTAGTCAGCTTTATTGAAGAACAAGCTCGCATAGCAGCTGATCCAGTATTTGGTGATCTTCAAGATCAGTCAGCTAGTAGAGGAAAAGCTAGGTCCCCAGTCAAACCACAGGCCTCAAAGTCATCTGGCAGTAGTTTTGCCACTAGTATAGCTATTGCCCAAAAGCAAAAGTTTGATCTTTCTTGCCCCTTCTGTAGCTCAAGACACACATTGGACATGTGTAAAGACTTTTTAAAGATAATACATAGAGACAAGCTCAGTTTTATAAAGACCAAAGGCATATGCTTTGGATGTCTCTCCACGGGCCATATTAGCAGAGACTGCAAAAGGCGCCTCAGCTGTAAGGTATGTAAGCAAGCTCACCCTAGTGTCCTACATATTGAGGCCAAAGATAGTATTATCAAAAAGGCAGAAAGATCCTCTGATGTTACAGGCAATGCATCAGCAGGATTATGTGGTCATATAGGGGCCGGAGACCAAGAGAATGTGCTGTCCATTGTCCCAGTTCAGGTGAAGGCAGCAAAGGGCAGCCAAGTCTTACAGGTGTATGCTCTCCTGGACCCTGGATCCTCAGCCACTTTCTGCTCCGAGGATCTTATGTTTCGGCTCAATCTGAAAGGAAGAAAAACACACATTCTTCTACGCACAATGAATCAAGAAAAAACTGTTCCAACTTATGTTGTCTCTGAAATTGAAGTTTCAGCGCTGGACAACAATAACTTCTTACCTCTTCCTGATCTCTTCACTCAAAAGGAAATGCCAGTTACCACAAACAGCATTCCCAAGCAGAAAGACTTAGCACAATGGAAGTATCTAAGTCGAGTCAAACTTCCCAGCATTAATTCAAAGGTGGAGCTGTTGATTGGTACAAATGCTCCAAAGTGCATAGAACCATGGGAGGTTGTTAATAGTCAAGGTGGGGGCCCCTACGCAGTTAAAACCTTATTGGGGTGGGTTGTAAACGGGCCACTGAGAAGTGCTGATGGCAGTGCAGAGAATGTGACGGTGAATAGGATATCCGTTACAAATCTAGAACAACTTCTGATCTCACAGTATAATCAGGAATTCAGTGAGGTAGCATCTGAGGAGAAGACCGAAATGTCAGTTGAGGACAGAAGGTTTGTAGAGATAGCCAATGAGGCAGTCTTACAAGATGGACATTACTATTTGAAGTTGCCTTTTAGGAAAACTGTTGTCTGCATGCCTAACAATCGCCAAGTTGCAGAACAGCGCCTCCAAACTCTGAAAAGGAAAATGAAAAAAGATGAGCAATACAAGCAAGAATATGTTGCCTTTATCAATGACATCTTTGAAAATCATTATGCAGAGGAGGTCCCAGAGGAAGAACTCACACAGGCACCTGGAAAGGTATGGTACATACCACATCACGGAGTATATCACCCCAAAAAGAAGAAACTTAGAGTGGTGTTTGATTGTGCAGCTACTTACAGAGGTGTATCCCTCAACACAGAGCTACTACAGGGTCCTGATCTGACTAATTCTCTTGTCGGAGTCATTTGGAGATTCCGTAAGGAACCCATTGGAATTATGGCTGACGTTAAGTCAATGTTCCATCAGGTGGGAGTAGAGAAATCAGGTGTGGACTACTTGCGCTTTCTGTGGTGGCCATTGGGTGACACCAGTCAAAACCCAAAGGAATACCGTATGCTTGTGCACATATTTGGTGCAGTGTCCTCCCCAAGTTGTGCAAGTTTTGCATTACAAAAAACTGCTGATGACAATGAAAGCTGTTTTCCCCTTCATGTAGCTGAAACTATCCGGCACAACTTTTATGTGGATGATTGTGTCAAATCCGTGGTTGAAGAGTCTGAAGCCATCCAGCTAGTAAAAGACCTCACTGCACTATG